TGAACGTCCCATTATCATCATCGAATACTAATTATTTATAAGAGAGACACACGGGGACAGAGATAACCACCGCTTTCTGTGAATAAGAATGAATTTACATCCCATCATTTCCAATCTGTGTGACATTTTGGGCAATCAAAAAAGTAACATTACAAGCGTTCATTTGACGTTAGAATCTAGCGAAAGTGATAGACATGTGTAACCAGCCAATCAACGGTCGAGTTTTCCAACCGATGCTTCGACCACCTCCTTACAGAGCCAACCAACATTTAGCAGAGGGAGGGGTAACGACAAGAGGGTAGCAACAGTTGCCCCGGTGAAGGCTCGGCGCCATAGTCACGGTAGTCCTGGCGACAAGAACTAAGCAACGGGAGTCAACAACAACAACCTAAATCTAAGAGGAAAAAACTTTAACGCCTAAAAAGGACAAACCCGGAACAAACAGGTGAAAAGTAAACTATCTCTGAATTTCCATTTAATTTTAGGTGAACTGTGTGTGTGCGTGTGTTTGTGCAGTCGCGAACACTCGCGCAAAATCGCTCGAGCGTTTCGGTGATGAAAGTGGTTGCTAGCTTCTTTCCAAACGTAGACCGTTGTTATGGCGATGTCAGATCTTTGATAAGAGCACAAGATGGCGGGTGTGTTGTGGCGCCTGTCGTACTTTTTTCTGCTATTTTGTCATAATGTTCAGGTTGTTTGTCACAGTTTCGATTACCGAGAAACTCACGAGGCGAGATTTGTAACGTGGTCGTAGATTTATTCGCTATCGACGTGACTAGCTAGCAGTTGGGTAGCTTGCGTTAACGTCATAACTCAACGTGAGCGATCTCCTAGCTGGAGAGGGGGGAGCTATCACTTTCTCAACTTACATTTCAAACAAAAGCTGACTAAAGAGATTAAATACCGAAACGCACACCAAACTACACACGCACCACTGGGTTTTTAATGAGTTTTAAACGCACACAAGATGATTGCACTATGTTTCATAATCATTTAGTGACTTTGAAAAAGTTTCTTGCGCTGACATTGAATCCAGTGGAAGTGACTGTCGTGAGGTCGGTGTGCCTCATGCTTGTGTTGTGTGGCATGTTGGTTCACGCAGGATTGGCTTCTCGCGCAGTAGGATGGCCTCTAGTATTTTTTTTCTTCAGGTTATGCAATCACGGGACTATCCACAATCCGTAAATTTAATTGCTTTTTTGCTCAGCGGTTTTGATTGTTTTATTTGAGATGAAATGTCATGGCCATGGTCAGTCAGAAACATTTTGGAAAATTTGATTAATTGCGTTATCTGTTATGCTGTAAGATTATACTGGTTCTTTCCGTTTTGACAAAACAGGAAAGGCTTTAGACTACTGCTTAGTCTCAGACAAAAGCCCTACTTCCTCATAAGGTTTATGTTACAGGCACACAAGGACAAACACACACATACACACACACAAGCGCTCACTCACTCTGAGTGGTCAAAGCACGGTGAGATAATAGGACAACAAAGTGTATTTCTGTGTATGTTCATAGCACCTTCATTAATGACTGTTATTTTTTCTGTATCCATAAAACCAGTGCCTCAAAGCATTGGTTGCCATGGCAACTTCTGGATACTCCGAAGACCTTCAGCCTCAGCAGGCCAACACAGTAACCATAGCAACACCTGCTTCCACCACACCCTCATCCGCAAAGACTGCACACTTCCTGTCCGAGATCCCACCAGCCTCTGGAACCATTTCGTCTGCTAACCAGTCAACTGCTGCTTCTAAAACTGGACAGGATGCACTTTGTTCTCAGGCTCCGCCCACCCAAGCCCAGAGCCAGAAGGCTGTGGTTCTGACTACTCCCACACAGCACTACGTGAACCCTAATCTTCAGCCTTCTCCAGTCCAGGAGAGTAATGGTCAAAGCAGCTCACCTCAGTACATCATAGTAACAATTCCAGGTGAGAGACTACCTTAGGAGTGACTGATACACACATACACATACACACACCAGGATTCAACATTACCAATGAACTCGTAGCCCAGGCATGTTGACTGGTCAGCTGCCAATGTTTGGATAATTGGCTAGAATGAAGCTTCACTAATGAGTATTTTTTTCTCACAGTCAGTATCTTTATGTTAAAATGCCAACAAAAGTCTTGTTGAAAATGAAGATAAAATTGTTTAAATGCAAAGGAAAGTGATCTGTTGCTCTACTTCCATCCACCGGCAGTTAGTTTTACACAGTCAAACCACTGCTGAATTAAGAAGTGAAGAAATGAAAAGAAAATGAAAACTGTCTGTGTGCAGACACTGTTTACTATATAGTTGTGAAATGTATAAATTTCACAGATTTCTTGTAAACTTTGTTGAAGGCTGACAGCAGTGTTCCATCCCTCTCTGGCAATGATTAGCACAGCATGCAGGGTTGAGTGTTATTTAGATTAAACTAGTATAATTTTTTTTTTCGCCACGTGTCTGTTGGATAAAGTCTCTAGACAGCTGTGTTACATAGTTTGTCTACCAGAAACTGGATTAATATGCTTATGTGGAAGCAAATGGGTGATAAATTTCTTGCAGCAGCCCCTCTTGTACCTACTGGCATCTCTACTTCAGACTCTGGGTGCAGCTGTTTTTTTGTTTTGTAGAAATGTGTGGAGCCAATTCTAGATTGAGCACTAGGCTGTATGATCAGAGGAGAGGTATTTATCCCATAAATCTGTCCCTAATGTTTCAGATGAATACTGGCTTGGATTCAAGCTTTTTGATTTGGACAAGACAATTAGACCCTCAAAACACATTTTATTAACAGAAAAAAACTACTCCTTGAAAAAACACTGAGAATCACTAGATTTAGTATCACACACTTAATGTTTTTTTTACAACTACAGTGACTCTTTGCTTGTCTTTAAATGCGCTCTCCCAGATGCTGTTTGTGGAGGAAGACTCATCACTTTGTCACTCTGTGAATGAACTGTGTTGTTGTACTTGAAAGAAAGAGGGAATTTCCTCCACAGAAATGAATAGCTGGGTGAGGCATGTAAAACACAAGGCCTTGTTCACCTTTTTTTGCATTTCAAATCAATGTTTTAAGCTCATTACATTCGCAAACCTCATGCTCGTGATCTGGTATTTATGCAGTGCTTTCCTAGTCCCACTGTCTCCTCAAAGACTCGTTACACTTTAAGCCAGATTGAGTCATTCACACGCATTCATACAGCACTATATTCTATGCACTTTGAGCTCTTTACCTAATACACACTCACAGACTACTAATGGATGCATCTTTGGGATTTTACTATCTTGGCCAAGGACACTTTGATATGTGAAGTTGAGGAGCCGGGGATCAAACCACTAAACTCCCGGGCTAGAACCGCCCAGATATGTGGCAGACTTTGGCTTGCTCGTGGGTATTTGAATAACAGAACTTCTATGAAGGGATGTCAGTGCATGTGTGTTGTACAAACACTAAAAACATAATGCTTGGATATCCAAGCATTATGTTTTTACACAGAAAATGAGATTTCAATCTCAATTAGAATACCTAGAGCATAATATCAGAAGTAATAATAATTATTCCATTAATAATAATAAATAATAATTTTGCATTGATGTTTCCTGATCACCCATCAGTCTTATTACAGAAGATTTCTGTCATCTCTTGCTATCTCTTTAAGAAAGAAGAAGTCAAACCAATATCTAATACCTTTTTTCCAACGAAGCAGCACTGGTGCCTACTGTAGAACCGGTTCCACACATTTCCCCTGTGGGGAAAAAAAATAAAATAAAAAGGTGTTAGTGCCAAAAAGCTAGTACTGGCAAGACATTACATAATTCCTGTTCCCAAGAAAAAAAACAAAACCAGAAATTTTTGGGTTGGGATGCCACAAAAGTTGTAAATTATAGTAGCAAATGTACAAAATTAGACATTAGAAATGAAGGTAACTGACGTAAGATGGATTAATAACACTTTTGAACTTAGTACTTCTTATCTAGGAAAAGTTCAATCAGCCATGGCTTATTTTAAAATGTATTCTATTAAATAAATACAAAAGCTTAGTCAAAAAAACCTAATCGGTATTTTAAAAAATTATGCTAACTAGAGGAAATGAAAAGAGACCCCAGTGTCAGTGCCCATCTGTATGTTTATTTTAGGGCCTTCTATTTGTAGATCTTTTTTCCTGCCAGTATCAGGTGACGCTGTGCCCTCTCACCCAGAGTGAGAGCCTCACAGGCCTGTTGCCTGGGGCTTGTCTCTGCCTCATAAATTAGGAATACAAAGTACACAATGTAACAGTATCTAGAACATGGACTACAGTAAAAAGAACAGACTTTGTGCATGTTTGTTTTCTGTATTTCAATTTTTTGATAGCTTGTTGGAAATATAGTTTAAGATTTCTATAACATGAATAATATTATGCAGTTAGGGGCATAAGTATTTAGTGACTGACACATTTTGTGTAATTTAACAAAAAAACAAAACAAAAATCGTATTAACTCTTTGAGAATTATAGCCATTTTTTCACACACCCTTCAGAGGCATAAAAGTAATTGGACAAACTAAGACAGTTTTAAAAATAAGGACTGTTTTCTAATACTTGGATGTGATCCTATCCTGCCAATGGCCGCCTGAAGTCTGGAACTGCAGCTGCCTTCAGCTGTTCGTGGATCTCCCTGCATTCATTATTTAATAACAGAAAGGTTGCTCTGTTTGGGTCGAGGTCAGGTGACTTGATCATTGAAAAATAACCCATTTCTTTTCCTTGAGAAATTCATACTGCTTTTGCAGTATGCTTTGGGTCATAATCCACAGCACTATGGTCATTTGCACTGCGAAACCCCGTCTGATTAGTTTTGCAACATTTGGCTGAATCTGAGCAGAGACTATAGCCCCGTATGCATCGTTATTTATCCTGATACTTTTCTCAGCAGTCACGTCATCACTAAACACTAATGACTGGGTTCCACTGTTTGATATAGATCCCCATTCCATAACATTATCTTCACCATATTTAACATATAATGTCGTAAGCTGCCGAACATGAGCTATTTCTCCATTCCTCCAGACTTTTTTCTTCACATCATTCTGGCACACATTAATCTTGGTCTCATCTGTCCAAAGAACTGTGTAGGCGCTTGCTTTCTGTCAAAGTTTAATGTGGACGTCTTGTTCTTGAATGTATTTTGTGGTGTGCACTTTGTTGTAAGCTCTCTTAAATGTAGACGTTTACTCTTTGAGAGTGCTCTTGAGTTAGATATTTTGAAGCTGGAACCAAGGAATGAATTCTGTGATCATCCACTGTAGTGGTCTTTCAGGTCTTTTGTTGCTGCTGACCTGGCAAAATCAGCCCTCCTTTCTAAGAAAGCACCATATTGTTAATTTGATGACTCCTAACGTTTTTGCTGTCTCTCAGATAGGTTTATTGTGGTTTTTCAGGTTAAGGATGGCTTCCCATGCTTAGATTGACAAGTAGACCTCATGTTGAATGTTCCAGTAAACAGTTGCCTAAGCAGTTTCAGCACAGTTAATGAATTTGTCATGCAATAACAAGGAACTGTCTTCACCTTTCCATTAAATTGCTTCCAAGTTGTCCAATTACTTTTCTTTTTTAGGTGTTGAAAATGATTTATACAGTCATGGCTGTACGGTTAATACAGTACTTTAAAAAAAAAAAAATCAACTGAAAATCTGCACCTCAGTCATAGCTTGATTTTTTGATTTCATATCCATTGGGGTGGTGTACAGAGGCAAATTTACAAAACTTTTGGCATTGTCCAAATAATTATGAGTCATAATATATGACTAGATGTTGTTTTGCACTGTAAGGTTTAGATGGTGTTTCTTAAATGTTGCTTCAGTCTGGTCTAGAACATAACATTTACATTTTCATTATTCAATAGTTAACAATATAGCTGTAAAACGAGAAAATTTTTTTTTTTATGGTCCTTGTAACCTTCAGGTTGTATAAGCTTGGATTATTGGTAGGTGATTGAAAAAATAAAAGCAAAGTTCTCTAACAAATAACTGACTTATCAACTGTACTAATTATACCAATTGATGAAAACAATAGAATTCTAAAGTGGTGTGTTTGGGCTGGGGTTGCAAACAAGCCCTAAACCAGGTTAAACAACGCAAGCCATCCTTTTTACACAGGATTGACAAATCTTGTATAAATGTATCCACCAAACCACAGACAGACTGGATTTATACTGTTGCACCAAACACAGGTGACTAGTTAGCTGTCAGACTGATGTTGTTGCCTGAATAAAAAACTTTTTCTTGTAAAATGGGAGGTGAAATTGTGATCAGAGTTATCATTTACAAGCACCTAGGCCAGAGCGTTTAGCTATAATAATGTAAAATTCAACTGAGTGGTACATTGGGCATTAGTCAGCTATGACTTGACCAAAGTGTAGTTACTGGTAGTCTATTTCTACAGTGTTCAACCTTGGTTGGAGTAAGAGCATCACAACAGGAGTAACAGTACAGGTGGTTAAAGTAAAACGTTTTCTCACCCGAAAAATAAAAACAAGTGAATATTGCCCTCTCCTCCACCCAACCTCCGTTCTCTATTTTCTCCCGCTGTTGTCAACCCACACGTATCTCTCTTTTTTCCCCTCTCATCTGATCTCCATGTTTACAAGATGGAGGGATTTCTCTCTCCATCTGGGGAGATTAGCTGTCCAAGGCTGTCCCTTCTGCATACAAGATATAAGGATGAAATGAGAATTGGACAGACACACTTCTCCTCCTCCTCACTGTCCATCTTTCCTCAATAGAGCAAAAAAAGAAACTTGATTGCGAGATGTTCTGTGGTGGCTGTTATTACGATTTGGAACCAGTCTGTCGTGAGTGCTTTGCTTGAAGCGATGGTGGATGGGTTTTCAGTTAAATGTGCCTGATCGTCAAATGAAACCTTTCTCCTTTACCTTTTGTGTTTCATCCACAGATGACTCTGTGCCCTCCAGTGACAGTTTGTCAGACTCCAGCCCGCCCGCCCCTGGTGTACCTACTCAGGTGGTCCAATCAGTGCAGACCACCCCACAGGTAAGATGCACACATATATTCATTATGATGGGAATCCCCCTGTATGTTGGAGACAATGTGGACACCAACGAGCACACCACACATACTGTGGGACTGCTCTTTGATCAGGACTTACTGGAATGACATTCACGAAACACTACAAGAAATTTTCAACTTTCAATCTGACGCTCTGGCTTTATACATCAACAGAGGTCAGTGTTGCAAGCCGTGTCTCAGGCAGCCAAGAGGAATCAGACAGGCCACGTCAACAATCTACAGTCTGTGCATATAACCCCAGAGGTAAGGAAGATAATTCCTCTCATCACTTCATCAGCATGTCAGTCATGCCACACCACGTACATTGATCTGCAACAGCACACCGCTGCCAGTTTTGTTTCATTAGTTGTAATCCTTAATAGCCTGCTATCATACAATTAAGTTAACAAATTGGGTTTAATTAATGTGTAATCAACATGTTGAGTGCACAGTATGATATTACTGAAGACCGGGAGAACCTCGTGGGCAGTCAAAGAGACAGTTACTTTTCAGGACTCGATGAAAGCAAATCAAATATTGAACTTGGTGAACGAATGCTTGCTCTGCTTGTCTTCTTCATAATGCCTGATGAAGATTAAGACATTGCTTTTGTATAAATGTTTTAAGGAATATTTTTGCAACCAATTTGAAATTGCCAGAAAGATAACTTAATGCCAAGTGGATGTGTAGAAAGAGAACAGTTTTGCAGCTTTTTACCTAGTAGTCACACCAGCATAGCATGTATTAAGCTTGCATTTCATTGAGTTGAAATGTACTATAACAAGTGCATCTTGTATAGTAACTCCTTAGAATTAAAAAAAAAATAGAATATAGCTTTTCAGTCACAAATGTGAAATCAAAAGGTTTAGCCGTCTTGTTCACACTGTGCCCACACATATTTTATGTTCTGGTTAAAGAGTCGATTTGTCTTTCCGTCATTACAATATTTACTATCTGCTTTAATAAGTAAAATACGAATAATTATCGAGAGCATAACTGATGCACGCTAAGTTTCACTGCACCCTTCACTTCAATTACACTTTAATTACATTAGTTATCTTTAGTTATAGAGTGCTTTTCACAGTTGTTCATGCAACACCATCATAAGGAGCAGATTTTAATAAAGTGGGACATTCAAAGCATATCTGCATGTTGCTGAGTTTTGTCATTAGGTGGAAAATGCAACTGTTAGTCATGTTGAGCACAGTCTGTTAGTGTGACACTTTAAATTGTGAGATGTGGGGTGCCATCTCCTTTCCTTTAGGAGGATGGTCCAATATATTCTATGCTAAAGGAGGACTTCGTTCAGTTCTTGCAACCCTTTAATTGTGTTAATCTCCTTTTTGCTAATTTTTCAGGTAGAGCATGTGTACTCTGGCCAGATCCAATATGTGGATGGAGCAGGAGATGCAACTTTCACCACACCCACCATGTAAGTAGTAAAGCACCTGATCTGTCTGTCTGTTTGCTCTATGCTCACACGTTCAGTTACACACACTCTGAAACTTTGCTTGTCACAGAGCCATTGATATATTTCATTGTCTGTGTCTTTTCTTGTCCAGTCGACCGAACAATTACCCCTTCTCCGAGTCGCCCCTGTATTCCCAGACACCTCCTACGTCCGCCTCCACCTTTTACGAGGCCACGCCCAGCTCTGAGTCAGACATCACTGGATCTGTGACTTCACAGCCAGTTTCTGTGGCAACAGCAGGAGCCAGCAGCACAGCAGCTGCTGCAGGTGGAGGTGGTTACGTTATTCAAGGAGGTTATGTCTTAGGAGCAGGAGGAACTCCAACAGCAGGTGGAGGAGGAGGAGGACAGAGTTACTCCAGCCCCAACTCTCGTGCCCCACCTGCTACCGTGAGTCGAAAAGTTGAAAGTGAAGCACATCTATGATCTGTGACAGCCTACCACCCAAAGGTTCAAATACTGTGACGTCCTTTTTCCCCAGGTGCAGTGGCTCTGTGATAATTACGAGGGGGCTGAGGGGGTGAGTTTACCTCGCTGCACCCTCTACTACCACTACCTGCTTCACTGCCAGGAACAGAAACTAGAACCTGTTAATGCTGCATCTTTTGGAAAACTCATCAGGTCTGTCTTCATGGGGCTGCGTACACGGAGATTAGGAACCAGGTACAGAAAAACACGCATACAGACACACATACACGAACTGTGCAAGACCAGTCTCTCAAGGGTTTATCATAACATTTTCCTGTGTATGTTTCAGAGGGAACTCTAAGTACCACTACTATGGTCTGAGGATCAAATCCGGGTCACCTCTGCTCAGACTGATGGATGAACAACAGCACATGGCGATGAGGCAGCAGCCTTTCTCACAGAAAAACAGGTAGCCACCCATGCACTCTAAAACTTGTCCTTGAGCCATTACAGGTACCGAGCTTCTAAATATAGTATGAAATACTAGTAGAGTACATCATTGCTGAAAAATATTCCTCCTGTGGTTTATGATTTCATTCTATGCATGGATGACATTTCGTTCTTATCCACAACCGGTCCTCCTGTCGGGTTTTACGTTATTTTGTCAAAACTGAACACCTTGTGTGAAAAGATCCACTCAAACAAAAATATGTAAAAATACAACAATAAACTGTCCCGATAACTCTGGCTCTGTTTCTGTGTGAATGATGTGACAAATAGGGTAAAGCCAGTTCAGAAGTCACAGGGGATCACCAACGGCACAGTAGGCGGGATAGGTCAACAGCAGGGCTCGACACTTTGTGACATTTCGGCCCAGGTGCAACAGTACCAGCAGTTCCTAGGTGAGGAACACCTGCACATTGTTCATCATTGTTTCTTTTTTAGTATATTGAATAAGCAGTTTAAAAAATGGATGGATATGATTTTATTTCAAATGATACTGAATCAACTCTCCGTGGTTCCTGTTTCCTGTGCATTATCAATGTGCAGAGGCATCAAAGCAATTGCCAGACTTTGTGGAAATTGATCTTCAAGATCGAACCCTGCCCGATGGGATCCTTTTAGAGCACCTCAAGGCCTTTCAGACTCTGTACAGAGAACACTGTGAGGTATGCAGCTTAGACAAAAGAAATGACATGGAGACTGAATATAATAGTCATGCTTTCCATGTGTGTGTACTTATTTCTCTTGCCATTATTTACTTATTTCTCTTGCCATTTCATTTTGTCATTGAAAAAAGCAAGGTTCTTGTAGTTGTTGTAAAGCACAGTAACATCAGCTTCCAAAGAAATGCAAACAGAAACACTGAAGTGAAGTTGTGCTCATTTACAAAGTAGTTTTGGATGATTCACACAGTTCAAAATAATCTTTATTTTATGTTGGACATTGATGCAACCCCTAAGTTTATCCAGCCCAGTTTCTTCTAATTTTCTATCCTGTGTAAATTAGCATCGGGTTTCACTCGCTGAGCCTATTACTTGAAATTTTTAACATAAATACAAGCATCCAGCTGTGCAGTGTTATACATACAGGTCCCATGAACACCTCTGTGATGCTAAGTGTGATCCTCGCAGGCTATTCTGGATGTGATGGTCAACCTTCAGTTCACTCTTGTTGAGACCTTGTGGAAATCATTCTGGAGGTTTAGCCAGAGCAATGATGCAGAATCGCTCAACCTGTAAGTATTGCAAACACACTCAAATGTGTGCACCCAAGCATCCCCTGCTGAAACTGAAGCTGATCAGCTGTTTCACATGTCCACCCAGACACAACGAGTCTGAGAAGCGACTGCCCAAATCGTGCCTGGTGGTGCTGTGTAAGTTTGAGCCAGTGCTACGCTGGACGAGAGAGTGCGACAACCTGCTGTACCAGACTCTGGTGGAGATCCTCATCCCTGATGTACTGAGACCCATTCCAAGTAAGTTAATAATGTCATGTATAAACGTTTTAATTTTCTGCGAAATCCACCTGAATACGTTTCAGTGCTGTTTTAGTGATGTATACTGTATGTAAGAATTATACACTGCGGCTCATTTAAAATGGAGAGAAGTGTTCCTGTGTTTTTGTATATCCCTGTAAATTGCATCTTTCCTCTTTGCATCACCGCCATCAGGTGCCTTAACTCAGGCCATCCGCAACTTTGCCAAAAGTCTGGAAAACTGGTTGACAGGTGCCATGATGAACATCCCAGAGGAGATGGTTCGCATAAAGGTATTTATTTATTTTTTTTACACTGAGCTCTGTATCCGTGTTTTAATTTAGAGCTTTTTCTTTAATACACGGGTGCATCCCTTAGCACTTAGCTCACCTTACATCACCAAATGTAAACTGATAAGTGGGATTTGTGATGTATTTTCTGACTTGGTGGTTTTTAGAGCTGCCATATTGTGATGGAAAAATGTGACTTGTCCTCTTTATGGCTCTTTTTGACAAGGGTGCTTTATTTCTCCTTGCTTTTACTTTCAGGTGGTGTGCATTGGCTCTTTCTCCCAGACGCTGCGTCGTTACACCAGTCTGAACCACCTGGCTCAGGCTGCCCGGGCCGTCCTCCAGAACTCAGCTCAGATCAACCAGATGCTCTCTGACCTCAATCGGGTTGATTTCAATAACGTGCAGGTCTGCCAGTACTGCCGTCCGTGTCTCCTGCGCTTACCTGCTGCTGTACATCAGTGTTTTTTTTTAAATAAAACAGCAGATTGCTCACTGTGCTTGCCTGCGTTCCCCTCAGGAACAGGCATCCTGGGTTTGTCAGTGTGAAGACCGTTTGATCCAGAGGCTGGAGCAAGACTTTAAAGCGACTCTGCAGCAGCAGAACTCTCTGGAACAGTGGGCTACCTGGCTAGATAGTGTTGTGTCCCAGGTCCTAAAGCCCTATGAGCACAACCCTATGGCCCTGCCAAAGGCTGCAAAGGTTTTCCTGCTCAACTGGTCTTTCTACAGGTGAGGGGAAATGGGGAAAAATGGGCTTTGTAAAGATGCAGTTTTATGTTAAAGAAACATTTTCTGAATCTTTTCTTTTCTTCACCAGTTCTATGGTAATCCGGGACTTGACTCTGCGCAGTGCTGCAAGTTTTGGGTCCTTTCATCTGATCCGCTTGCTGTATGATGAGTACATGTACTACCTAATCGAGCACAGAGTGGCTCAGGCTAGAGGAGAAACTCCCATAGCAGTCATGGCAGAAGTATGTACCTGAACACACACTCATACTTGTATTCCACTTTTGAATTAAGTTTATAAATATGTCTATAAATGAGAACCTTCACAAACATTTATAAATGTGCTTTCTTTGCCATGGACACAGTTTGCCAGTACTGTCAAGAGCCGGACCTCTCAAGATATTGAAAAAGGTAAATGAGGATGGTTTTCCTTAAATACTCTTTTATTAGGATTCCTCATAAGCACCAGCCTCAGCCTTAGCCGTTTTGCTACTTTGTAACCACAGCAGTTGCCCCCTGCTGGCCATTACAAAGAATGCTGAATTAATGCACTTCTGCATTGACTTCACTTTTCAGACACTCGTCCATCTTTTATGAAACTCTTTGCGTTACAGATTTAGAGTTCACACCTTTTTCTTTTTTTAAATGCAAACAATAACAAGGTCCCCACTGAGGAGAAGTTTTTATTACAATATGATGACATCAGCGGTTTTTAGAGGTCATTTATGGTGATATCAGTATTGTTAATATGGAAGTGTAGCAAAGTATATTTTGCATCATTGTGAAGTCATGAAATCATGTTTTAAGTTAAAGCAACGAAAGTGCTGAACTTTTGCCTTATTTGTGTTACCCTGACCTTTGACCTTGCATACTAAAATGGTATACTTTAGTATGTAATGTTTAGTATATTGTTGTGAAGTTTGAAGATCATCCATAAGAAACTGTGGGTAATATAAAGGGTTTTTTTTGTTTTGTTTTTTCTACAGATTTTTAAATTTGGTGGTTTGATCCAATTTTAATCAAAATAAAATCAGCTTGAGGCACTATTACATAGAGATGGTGGGGAGGAAGAACTCATGTTTAGGGGGAGAAAAGAAAAAGATGGTGAGACAAGTGTAAAACAAACTACGGGAGAGAAGACAAATGAAATATGTATGCATTAGAGATTCAAACAAAAAACAAAACAAAAGTGCACAGTAGCTGCTGCAACAGGCCAACACTCAGCATGGCACTGTGGTATTTACTTATTGTCTTTCATGTCTCAGAAGAAGAGGAGGAGGATGACGATGAATATAGTGAGGAGGACACTGGAGATTTGGTGCTGCAGTCCAGCTCTCTGAGCGCGGTTGATGATGAGAAGGAGGTGATGGAGCCGCCAGTCAAACAGCCCAGGACAAACTTAAGCCTGCACACGCTCAATGAGACCGACAGCACACCACCTTAGCTAATCACCTGTATGGTTAGCACAATGCTTGACACATGCCTTTGCTTTAAGTTTCAAATCATGTCATCTCGTTCTGTTGCACCATGTGAGCTTCTGGTTTGCATGTTTGGTCGTCTGTGGTGAGAAAGTGGGAGGGCCTTTTGCCAAATTTTCTCTGCTGTCCTGTTTGCGCTGCAGCCTTTATGTTTACCTTCACTTTATCATTTCACAGTCCCCCCCCCCCTCGTTCCCTGTGCCTTCCCTGCCTTTTCAGTGGCTGCTCCTGCCCAGCCTGAATTATATATACGCATATTCTTGATTCCCTCCCATCCCGCCTTAACCACTGACCTGATTGCTGTGGAGAGATTCATTGTCCTCTAAACTCAAATATCACTTTAATTACCTTTAACACAATGACTATGCAGGGGAGCTGGACTTGAATGAATGATATTGTCTGAAAAATATATTTGTTTAAGAGTAGCATCTAGAATGATACTGCATCATGAATTTTTGTTGGCACATGGACGTTGAGTGAAAGGTATTTGGCTTTATAAATGTGACTCCTTATTCATTTGGCCAACTAACTGATACGCTGTGCCTTTTGAGAGATTTCTAGGCTTAACAAAAAAAGGTTGTGCTCTATATATTCTGTATCGGTGGTTCAATAAATGAAGGTCCTGTGAAGTAGTCGTGGTGTTGTCATGAACTTTTTGTAGCTGTTAAAAGAAAAAAAAAAATTGATCGTCTAGTTTTGTGATGATTCTGCCTGGTTTGTTTTTCTTCATCCATCCTTTCTTTCATCATCAACATCTTTCTTTCACACATAAACATCCAGATGACTCGAGTGCAACCCCCCCCCCAGCTTTTCCCACCTGATCAGCTCCACATATTTTGCAATCTTTGTACCAGCTAGATGTACCAGCTATCTCAAAGTTTTTGTAGTGTAAGAGTAGATGTTTATTTTCAGAAAGTGTGTATGCTGGACGTTTGTAGATAACTTATATTATGTACCTTTTTGTGAACGCCGTAATATATCCAAAATATTCGTATGTTGTTTAACCATTATTGCCTTAATAAGTATGTCGTGGTATGTCCACCAGCCAGAGTCTTGAGCTATATTTTTATTGTGATGATGGACCAAGCATGTGAGTATGGTGACTTAAGATTAACCCCCTCAAAGAGCACACGCTCAACCAGCAGCAATGTGTGACTGTGGGACTGAGGGGAAAAGAAATAAAAATATTATAATGGTAGTGGGATGTCCCTCAGGACCACCTGATTACAAAGATGTCACCAAAGAACATAACAAAGGAGAAAAAAAAAAGTATGTTTACATTTATATATAAATATATATATGTGAGAGCAGGCTACAAAAATCTGACTCGAATTAAAATGAACCGCCAACTGCGATGTCATACAAACTGTGCCGTGGATTCTGTCCCTTGCTTGTGCTGCAGAACCATTTCTGAACGAGGTTCTTGCTGTTATTCTGAAGACCTTTGTACTTAAACCTGTGATCAATGTTTGTAGCTTTATTCTCACTGTTATAACTAAAGAGATGTGATTGCTATCAAAACTTGTGCCAGACTGTTTTTCCTTCATTCCCTGTGTTGTTCTTGGAATTTCTTTCTTAACCACATTTTCCAACTGGAGGTTGGTTTGGGGATGGGCAGTTTGGTTTGGGAGTCCTCAAAATGAAACAAAGGCTGTAATGGAATTGTCCCAAAAAATGACCACTTTTGTTTTCATAATATTTTTTTCTTTGACTTATTTAAACCTAACGGAGACTCAGGAAAAGAGAACCTGAGGGCTCAGAGAAGACCTGCTCTAGATGTTGTGGGGCTGTTGCCCCTCGCAACATCGGCTGTCAGGGGCAGCTCCTCTGGATTGGCAAACTAAGGCAGCAGACCTTTGATCATATAGCCATTTCAGGGGGATCATGATCCTCAACTTGGCTGGGAAAGTTTATGCCACGGAGGATGGGAGTTCATCCATTAGTTAAACCTCAGATTCAGGTTTGGTTTGGTGGGAGTTTGCAGAACTGATTGTTCTGCAAACTCATTCATTCTTTCTTTGGTTCTTATACAAATTAATGCTCAGGTTGTACAAGTCAGACCTGATGGATGGCCCGGGGGTCTACTTCAGCTAAAAGACAGAAGATCAGGGACCATTTAATGAACAGTAAAAGGTAAACCTATATTTAAGTTTCTCTGTACTTAAATTATAAATAAGTATTAAAATTGATTAGTCTACAAAATTGTTCTATTAATACATTCAACTAGTGAAACTTAAAAAATAAAAAGTATAAATGTCAAATTATACAGATGTTTTATGACTGTAGAAGGAAAAAACAAAAAAAACAAAAAAAAAACAGAACAAAATCTGATAAATAGTCCAAAAGGTCTTTAGGCTTCAGACGACCAAATTGAAAATGTAACAAAGAATAAAAATTCTGACGGTTAGGAGCTCATGGAACCTTTTTAGCCTCACTGCAAATACCCAGTACTACCCTAACAGACCCAAAACTCAGTTGCTTTATGGATCATGCAGATCTCACAAGTTGACAAGACTGTACGACGTTTAAAGAAAAACAAAACACGTTTGTGTTTTATTTGTATGTTAATCGGTTAAACATGTGGAGTACTTTTACCTCTTCTCTGTGCATGTTTTCCTTGAGCGAAACCAGCTCTTTGCGTCTTTTAATGTAACTTTAGTACTAGACAGTGTGGTCTGTTCCAATGTTGGGCCTGTTCTGTTTTGTATATAAATGGTTCTAGTTAGGGAACCAGCACTGATTCAGCTGAAGTCACATGACAACTTTTGTGGTAATTATTTCCCCTCCAGGCAAGATCTTCTCTGCAGACTGTTGGATTATTTTCATGTATCCAGTTATCATCACAGCACACTCATAACGCTTTTGAACATTTTATTTAAACAAAAGATCCCAGCAGAATACAGTCTGTATTCCATGCTGTCACTCATACAGCACGACAGCAGCCAGCTAAGCAGGTGACTCTTGGTTCCACTGACGAGGGTTTTAAAAAAACAAAAACAGAAATCAAGTGAAGCAGTAGAGTTTTTCAAATTTCAAATACTGCAGCCTTACACACAGCTGGACAGAGCTGGTCCACACTGGATGAGAAATGAGTTCAGAAGCAGCAAAATCTGTTAAATTTCTCATACACCCACCTTGTACAGATATCACATACATTCAGTTACTCACACTCACTGACAATAAAACTGCCTTAATGTATAAAAACAAAAGTAAAAATGAAGTCTTTGTTCAGTCCAGCTCTTGGTTTTGGTTGTTACAACAATTCAGTACACAATTGCAAAAAACACACAAACCTTTACAGTATTTCATCTGGTTCTTTGTTCGGCTTTAGCAACATGCTACAAACGGAACCTCCGATTAAGGTCGATACTGCAGGTGAGCTCATGTCAACGTGTACTTCTGTGTGCTTTTCTTTATGTTGTTTGGACACATGTGGATCGCTTCTTCCTTCACAATACAATCCAGGTACACCGGTCACTATCTGCCAACACTTGCAGAGATGAGCCTGCAGGTGAGAAAAGAGCGGGACTTAACTCTCTCTCTCTTTTTCTTTTATTGATACAAAAGATTAAAAATAAAAAAAAGACGTTTTTAACCCTCTGGAGGCAGGCGTTGCTGATTTGCAACAGTTAAAAACTAACAACCTGATTGCCCCACATACATATTTTATGAGGTTTTTTACTCAGAAGTACCACTGCAGGACTTGGTTGTGCATTAGCAACAAAAAGTTTAATTTGAGCCTGAGAGGGTTAAGGAAGAGAAGTCAGATCTCTATTTCTTTTTCAGTATAAGGAAGAAACATGAGTTTGGATTAAAGCTGCGCAGGGGCTCAGTCTTTACTTTTTTCCTCAGTTGACTTCTAGTATTAAGCTTAGTAATTTAATAGATGAGGTGGAATGTGATTTCATCATTGGTAACATAAAAACTCATCCCATATACTTAAAAAACAAAGCAATCAATTCATCTTTTCAATCAGTCAGAAACATTAGTCCAAATACACAGGTCATTAACATCTGAGAAGTCTCATCTTTTAATGTTTTTGATGTGCTTTTGGTCTCTAAACAGGGGGCACAGAAAGCCTATTGCTGTCAAATGTTTGGTCCTAAACACAGAAAGAAAGTGCAGTATTTTTTTGGGACTAGAAAGTCAAAGGCTCTCTTGTTTATTCTGATCTTCTATCTTACAGCTCACTAAGGTCTCATTTCTCCAAAAAGGACTTAACATTTGGCAGTTTTTATTTTTGACAGATTTATTTGGGAGGATTTATGTTCATCTGTTTCTGTGTCTATATACTCACCCTTGTGGAGAGCTTCATTGGTCATGCGGTTGATGTAACGGGAGCTGCTCTCGGGGACAAGCCACTTCATCACCGTGTTCACACAGGACTTCCTGTACGAACTCCAGACGGTCCCGCTGACGGACAGACAAAACCTTTCAATACAACTGAACTAATGAGAAACAGGAGGCAGAGAGAACCTGTGTATGTGGTACAGGCTTGCAGGGCTCACCTTGTCTGACCCTTGACTTCTGTGAGGTCGCCAACACCCACAGTGCGACATACACCCGTGTTGAGGTCCCAGCTAACCTGCAGGTTGGAATGGTATGTGTTTGGCCTGAAAACAAAAAGAGCCACCGGGTCAAAAATCCAAGGCGGGTCAAACAGGTGAGGGTCGAGGTGCTTTAGGGTAAAAGAGCAGGCGAAGTACCTGCAGTGCTCCTCGTCAGAGTTGGAGAATGCTAGTAACAGCAGACCAATGTTGATCATCACAATGTTGCTGTCTGGACACACCTGATACACATCAAAAACATGTTACCTACATGCAAAGTGTTCTTCCATGGTTCATGCACTAAATGTATGAAATTAAAATTAAGGAAATCAGAAATTTCCTAGTTGGAGAAAACTAGTGGACTAGAAATTAAAAAAAAAAAAAAACTGCAAAAAAATTCATACAATCTACTGAACAGGCTTAAACACTGACTGTGTGTATTTAAGCCTTGCTTTTTTATTTTTAATTTAACCAGAAAGTCCCTTGAGATTAATCTCTCTTCTTTTTTTCAAGGGAAGCATAACCAAGGAAACAAAAGCCTGCAAAAATGATAAAGCTGCATTTTCCATAAACAGACAGCAACACATAATCTAAAATCCACCTCTGGAGCAACAGTTGCACTCTTCAGTTACAGAATCATTTATAAGTTCTTTAAACCCACCAGCGAAACAAAAACATTAACCTTTAGTTCTTGTTGTTATGAAGGTTACTCTGTGACCAAGGTGCAAAATAAGAGAACACTATGCCTCCAAGTTCTGCAAAAATACAAGTATCCTTAAGAGGTCTAAACGAGGGAAAAATCTTAAGTGTAGGTTTGTGACAAATCAGGAAGACTCCATTTGGCTTTGTTGTTAAAAATATACAAATAATATTAATAATAATAATAATAATAATGTGTATGTGTTAGTCCCCGTAGGGAAATTACTCCTCTGCATTTAACCCATTCACCTAGTGAAGCAGTGGGCAGCCACCCGGGGAGCAGTGTGTAGGGACGGTACCTTGCTCAGGGGTACCTCAGGGTAGGCGTTCAGTGGGGTTGAACCCACAACCTTCCTATCGTGGGGCAACCACTCTACCTACTGAGCTATCCCTGCCAATACTAGTCAAACTGTGATGTGTACTGGACAATAAATTATATGCAAAAGTGAGTCTAGACCAGGGGTAGGCTACGCCAGGCCTCGGCCATATTATACCGTTCACGGTAATACCGGTATAATGTTAGGCAACGATAGGAAAATGAAATATCGCGATAGAATAGGAGTAAAACGCGCATGCGCAGTGCCTTTGTTTTCATACGCACA